TACTCTCCTATCGTACCAACCGATTTGAAGTAAACCGTCGACCGTTGGGGACCCCATCCCCTCCCCAACATTCAGCATACGGTCCCAGCCGAAACGCCAAAAGGGCTGGTTTGCTCACCCCAGAACTAAGCCTTAAAGAGAGGACGGGTCCGACCCTCTCCAAGGCTTAGTCCTGGGGTGAGCAAACCAGCCCTTTTGGCGTTTCGGCTGGGACCGTATGCTGAATGTTGGGGAGGGGATGGGGTCCCCAACGGTCGACGGTTTACTTCAACTCGGTTGGTACGATAGGAGAGTACTGACGCAAGTGGTCCAGCAGCTCCGCCAGAAGGGCTGGTTTGCTCACCCCAGGACTAAGCCTTGGAGAGGGACGGACCCGTCCTCTCTTTAAGGCTTAGTTCTGAGGTAAGCACCAAATTGTGGCGGTTCTAAGGACCGAGTTGAAGTGGTCCGTCCACCGTCGGGGACTCCATCCCCTCCCCAACATTCAGCATACGGTCCCAGCCGAAGCGCCAAAAGGGCTGGTTTGCTTACGTCCGGGGGCCAGCCGATGTACAAGTCAGTGTTTTTATCCTCCCAGACAAGTCTGGTACCAATTAACCGACCCCGGAGGGATGGAAGGCTTGGTTGGCCCGGGCGACTCACGACCCAGGATTTGATCCCCGGACCGCTCGCGTGGTAAGCGCGCCACTTGCCACTACACCACTTCCGCCCTGGGAATCAGGGATGTGCTGCAATGGCTTCGACTGTCAGTAAGCACATAGCCACTTTGTCCTCGCGTTGACCGATTTTTGCAAAAATGTCACAGAAGGAGAGATCAAAACTTGAATAACCCCTTCCATGAAGTCTACATCAGAAATTTAACATTGATATCGAAGCGAGGGCGAGACGAAAGCGTCACACCAAGTGGTGAATCAGTGAGGTGACAGGCAGCAAGCAATATTGATGGCGAAGGGAGCAGGGAAAGGGAAATATAATACGCGGTTGAGTTTCCAAATTTTCCCTCCCTCTTATATGAGATTCGATACGACCCATTCTATTATAGATACCATAAAATGAGGAAATTCACAAGGTCTTGGCCGCATTTCAATCCATGCCACAGTTCTGTTCGCAGTTGCGTCGCTTTATGGGTACGAGCACTTTTGCTTATCGAGCACCGGCGAAAGGGGAGAGCAACGTGAACCCACTGCTTATTTCAAGAACACTTTTTCGTCAAAATTTGAGCTTCTCAAAACCTGTGCTAAATTTGAAATCTAATATCTGCCAGATTTTTAGTAGCTATTGAAGGTAGCGATTACGATAAAGGGGAGCATATCGGGAAAGCATATGCACCGCATGGATCAGTTATTTGGCCGCCAGAAAGCGAAGTTCGGGGCT